TTTACTCTGAACTATCATGCCGGAGTGAGCGATCTACCTAAGGGAGCTCCCCTACGTCCCCCTGTGAGCCTGAGCATGCGTATGAAAGGCTCCTTGGCCTCTGGGCACCAGAGCGCCCCTATCCTGGGTGACGGGATCTCTCGGCGTAGAGTTACAACGCCGCGGGCGTCTACTTAGACGCCCGCGTCCTTCTTCCTCTCACACCACGACGAGCGCCTTAGGGCAGCTCTCGTGGCTGCTGGATATCTTCGCCCAACGAAGCTCAAACAATTCGCACTGCATCACACGCAGAATGATGGATATCGGGATCGGAGGAGCCCAATCTCGCCGAGCTGCATACTCCTCATCCGAGATTTCGAGAGGTTGGACCATTCTACACGCTTCCTCAACCTTATTGGCAAGGGCACGACCAGCAGGGCTACCAATTATGTGCGCAATTCCGACAGGGGTTGTAGGAGGAGATGGAGTGGACGCCATTCGGCTGCGAAACCCGGATCGACAGGACAGGAGCGCGAAAACTAAGGGTGCCCTTTGCGTTATTTAATCCGGACGTACAACAAGCGTATTTATGCCACCAAGACGGAGGGCCCTATTGAAAACGGAAGAGGCGATGAAGACAAACACGTGTCGGCAAAACACCATCACTCTCCGAGTCCCAAGAATATCTGCTCCGTGTTGGATAACAGGAATGACGGAAAGTCCGTCTGGTCTTCAACCTCGTTCCAGGCGCGGCCGATCATCAAGGCGTGAGAAAGGTTTAGCTGGTTAGGCGACGGTGTCACTCGATGCGCACTCTCTGGCACGTAAACGGCCACCAGTTCGTTTAGGAGTTCGAGCCCGCGAAGGCAGCCACCACTGAACGCAACGTATGTCTGCGGTCCCTCTCTGCAAACGTCGCTGGGGAGAACCCCGCCATCGTCGAGTAAACGAAACTGCAGTACGACACGAGATGGCGTGAGTCGGTGAAACAGAGGAATTACGAGACGGACTTGCCAGGAAACCCATGATGTTGGAAATAGCGTCGTGGACAACGATTAACTCGATCATGGTCAATTCGTGACGACGCAACCACCCCGTATTGGCCGGGCGAAGCGCGCAATCCAACAAATGGATAGACGGACGAATATACCGTTCCATGACATCGTAAAGTTTATCGCGCGTCTGGCTGCCGGGCTCGAAACGGAGCGCTGTGTCCAGTGCATACTCGTTGACAAGTTTGCACGCCTCCTCAATGCCGTAGAAATTCGAATCGAGAGCGATACGCGGAAGACGGTAGACGTTGGACATGGCGGCGTGAAGGGGCTCGTTGAGAGTAACGAGAGCAGATATCAAACGGGGTCTCAACATACAGGCCTTCTATTTATACGATAAACTTTAGGGAAACGGACGGCATGCTCGCATCTCCGAGGACGAATGCCTCACGACGCTCCACTCGGAGAGCTCTCGGCCGCACGCTTCTTCATCCGCCCACAAAGTAGGGCTAGCGCTTCGGCAAAAATGACTTCTACCCCCCCCTTGTAAACAGTCAGCCTGGTGGCCACGCTCAGGGGGAGAATCTACCATATCAGCAAGCAGGCCCTCAACACTCTCCTTTTGCACACCTATCACCTTGCCTTCCGAGTCCGTTTCAACTAGAAGAGCACCGTCAACACGGGAAAGGGCTACGAGCGTGGCCTCCACAACGCGCTGTGCGTCGGTCCAAACGGGGCTGTTGATTTCATTGGTCGAAAAGTCCAGGACGACCGCGTCGTTTACCGCAATCCGTTTGAAGTTGCGCGGGGGTTGCCGCGAGGCAAAAATAGGCTCGACCGTGTGGTGAGGATTGTACTCCTCGTAGTCCAAGAAAATGGCCTGTTTAGAGACGCGGAAGAGGGCGACCGTCTCAGCGCATTCTTTCAAAAAGAAATCTGCTTGCGAAACGGCGAGATTGAAGACGTTGATTCCCTGGACGTCTGGCGCGTCATCACCATCAAAGCCCACCGCATACAACAGCACGCCGATAAGATAGAACATCCAGGAAGCCTGCGTGGGAGTATTGTGCCGACTGAAGTTCTGGCGAAACTCGTTCTGCCGAACTCGCGCTGCATAATACTTTGAAACGGAGATAAGCCACGGATCCCTCGAGGAGGAGGAAGGATGTACGAACCATGTGGTCGACAATAATGCGTACGCACACCCGAGCTTCGTGCAGGTCTCGAGTGGTGATAGACGTTCGGGTACGCGTGGCCCACCGATCTTCCAGAATCGATATCGCAACCAAGAAAACCTTGAAACGGAGGTTCTGTCGAAGAAACCGCGATAGTCCGCCGGCGGGGACATCCATGCTCTCGCCTGGCAGTACGGCGACTGTAGAATGAAAGCGGCCAATGGCAGAAGTGTCCATTCGGTGAAACGGAGGAGTCGGAAATTTTGAACCAGCGCAAGGCTGTATTTATAGTGTCGCCAACCGGGGACGGTCGGCATTCAAAAGTGGGGAGGAGATGTGAGCTGTCACTTTGTGATGCGCTCTGAACGCGGCCAAACGGGAGGAAAATCATACTCACGACAGCGACTCCGTATCAATAAAAAGCATCGGATACACCACCACCAGGGCCAGACCCCGAATCGAACAGGGTTCTCTTGGAGAATCGCTCCATCCCAATGTATCGAGTCCAAGCGTGTTACCGTTACACTATCTGACCGCGAGTACTCACCGAGACCACAAGCAAAAAGGATCCTCTGCGTCAGCAAGGCCAGACCCCATAACGTATTCGTCTCGCGCACGTTACCATTCCGCCACCTGGCCGAACATCAGACTCCGAATCAATAGGAAACCCACAAGCAAGCAGGAAAATATTGATAGAGCTATCTGGCCGTTCAATGCGTTCACTCAAAAACTCGAACGCGCATTCACTCAAAAACGAAACGGAGGCAAAAGTTTCTTGATGGTTTATCAAGGCCAGACCCCGAATCGAACGGAGACCTTGCGAGGAAACGTTACAGGCTCTCTTATTTGTCTCGCATGCGTTGCCGTTCCGCCACCTGGCCGGTACTAGGGAAGGAAATGGGGGGGCAAACGGAGACGAAGTGGTTGCGCTATGGGAAACGGGGCGACCAAACGGAGACGAAGTGGTTGCGCTATGGGAAACGGGGCGACTAAACGGAGAACTGAGGCGGTTCTTGGGAAACGGGGTGGCTGAAACGGGAAACGGATGCGACACGAGGCTGCTCCGAGTCAATTTCTAACCCCTTCGGAATCGGGAACGCGTGGGCGATCACAGAGGCGAGTCAGAACTGAAAAGGTGGAACGTCCGTTTCCAATTAAAGGGATAAATACGCAGCGCGAGTATCGGACAGAGTACAGTATAAAAGCCAGCTGTAAGATACGGAATGAACATCTTATTACCTCCCACTGCATTTACCTAAAGCTACTCCCCCTGAAGTACACCTAGGGTGGGGAACTAAATTAAAATACACTCCGCTACGGGTCGTGCCGCCCAATAGTAGGACAAACCAAGGTCACCTAGAAGGCCAGGGCTTGTCAAGAAACCCCGTCCGTCTCACCTCCGTTTCGATAAATCGATACGGGGGAAATATAGTCAATCCGGAGTTGAAAGCGCGCAGAAGTAGATTAACGCGGCACACCACCAAACGGCCAGTCGCCTAACTTGGCTTCGTGCAACCGTTCCTTTTCGGAGTTCGAGCGCATATCCTTGCGAGGAACCCACCCCATCGTACACGGAAGGCCTATCCTACGCGATCATACCATTTCCCCCATTCAATTCGCACACTTCACCCCCGAGTCTTCGAAACGGAAGTGATTCCGTTTCAAGGCGTTCACCAACGGAGAAACTAGGCTACGAAGGGAATCGCTATAGCCATCCGTATAGTGTTGCACCGTACTGAAGAGACCTGCCGTCCGATACGTTCGAGACGGGTGGATAAAGCATAACAGATAACCCGAGTACTCCGGAACGGAACAGCATTCGCATTGCGGAGCGTACCCTTCGAGCAAGTGTAGAAAACTATCCATCCGCGGTACCTTCGGAAGGCCAGCCCCCAACGAAGAACTAAATCTTCGAGGAACCTGGCAAAGCGTTCAATCCAAACGGAGAGAACTGTACACCACACGCACCACAAATTATATATCGCGCATTAGCATACCTTAAAACTACGCAGCTCCGCGAAAGAGCAATTTCCCCCTAGAGGACGAATTAAATTCTGTAAAACACTACTTGACTATACCCACCCCGGGTCAGGCAGTTCACAGAACCGCAGTCCGCATCACAGCGGAGATATTCACAGTGTCCTCCGCCGGCGTCGTTGGGATGCGGTCGGACGGTGGGATATTCGCAGTGTTTTTGCCGTGCCGTCGGATGTCGGATGGAAGGGATATTTAAATTTGCAGTGTTCCTTCACGGCGTCGTTGGGATGATGCTGGAGGATGGGAGGACTGGAAATGGGCCATGGTCTGCGGGAAGGTGCGCAGGCAATCAAATTATTTCTTTGGTCTAGCCCGCATTGGCCAAAACATCATTGGGAGATGTGCGGAGGGTGCTTTACAAGGTTTCGGGCATGGTCGCGCTCGGACGCATCGGTCTGTCGCGCGAGGGGGAGTGTTGAGTAGGAAATCCGGCCCGGTCTTCCCGTGTATTTAGCCGTAGCTTGATCGTAATGCACGGGAGCTTTGCTGCTTGTTTCACACCACGACAGTGCGCCGGTCGCTTCGACTTCAACAGTGGTGTAGTGGTTACATGTCCTCTCATTGTAAAATCTTGTAAACACTTGCTGTGAGGAGGTTCCCTGTTCGATTCGGGGTCAGGCCATTCGAATTGATGACTATCTTTTTTTGTTCCTTTTCTTTTCTCAAATCTAGTAATTCGGAAACCGGGCTAAAGGTGGAGACGGCAGGTTTTCTTTGCGTCTTGGAGAAGGCTATGTTGAATTCCGACAAAACAATATTAATTTGAACCTTGGTCTCTGCAAAGGCACGTTTAGAGTTGAGTTGGGACCAGGATTAAGGCCTGGTGGTGTAGTGGTAACACATCCTCCTCAATTAGTGTGTAAGCAATGAGATGTTATGAGGAAGTACCCTGTTCAATTTGGAGTCAGGGCATTCAAATTAATGACCATCTTTTTTGTACCTTTTCTTTTCTCAAATCTAGGGATGATTCGGAAACCGCGCTAGAGCGGTCGGCAGGTTTTATTTGCATCATATATGTCTTGGAGAAGGCCTGTTGAATTCCGACAAAACAATATTAATTTGAACCTTGGTCTTTAGTAAGGTACATCTAGAGTCGAGTTGAGACTAGCATCAAGGCCTGGTGGTGTAGTGGTTACATGTCCTCTCATTGTAAAATCTTGTAAGCGTTTGCTGTGAGGAGGTTCCCTGTTCGATTCGGGGTCAGGCCATTTGGATGAGCTGAAGATGTTTTTTTGTTCCTTTTCTTTTCTCAGAGCTAGGGATAATTCGGAAGCCGGCGTAAACGGTAGGACACGGCAGGTTTCCTTTGCATCGTGGATGTCTTGAAGAAGGCCTGTTGAATTCCGACAAAACAATATTACTGTAATTTGAACCTTGGTCTCTGCAAACGTGCATCTAGAGTTAAGTTCAGGCCAGCATCAAGCTCTGGTGGTGTAGTGGTTACATGTCCTCTTTAATTGGCTACTAATGATTCAGTGTTATGAGGAAGTGCCTTGTTCGATTCGGGGTCAGGCTATTTTGGACCTTTTTTCTCCCGCACTCAAAAATCCGAGCGTCTAAGGTAACACCATTTGTTCTTTTGCCGTCTCTCCTCGCCTCGTTCGCGTCGCTGCCCTGGCAAAACATACTGTACTCCGGCGCCAGTTGAACGCGGGCGCCGGGCCGGATTCACGTCAGCAGCTGCAAGATCGGCGTCCGCACGTTCGAACCCCTCAGGGCGTGCTTTCTTCCCCTGCCCAATAACGTATTTTATTTGCTCGCTCCACCGCCGATTCATCCACAGCGGCCGCAGGCCCTTCTCCCGCCACTGTCGTTCTTGTAATACAATAAAAAGTCGCTGCAGCCGAGAGGAACGTGGATGGATGACTGGATTTGGTTGTTGATGCGATTGCGGGAATTACGCTGGTGGACGGTTGTTGTTTACGGTGGTGGTGGTCGGCTTGCCCTACCCCCGTCCCCCGGTCTCACAAAGCACCCGTCAGTCCACTTACACCACACATACACCACAATGCAGGAGGGCTGCTCTGAAAACCTTTGAAGGACGTCATTCACCAAACCACACTTTACTTGATACGACGACGACGACGACGACTAGCAGCACCAGCACCAGCAACTACTAGAATAATAACAACCACCACGACAACGACGACGACGACGAGCAGGATGCCGAGAGCACCGAGTGTACCGCTTCCCCCGCCCGACGCGGCCGCGCACGAGAAACAGCCGGGTATGACCCGCCAGGACCTCCTCGACAAGGCAAAGACCGCTCTTGCCAACAATTCCACCAATACCACAAACGGATCCTCGACTGCGGCGCCGACGCTGCCTGCGCCTGCCTCCGTGCCCAACGGCAACGGTGCCACATCCACATCGACGTCCGCTAAGCCGACGACGACGAACGGGGCTCTGGCGCCACCATCGGCCCCATCTACCACCACCGCAGCCCCTCCCGCGCCCGTCAAACGCGCCGCCTCCGCCTCCGCCCCAAACACCCCCATTCTCCCCCCGCGCGCCCCCTCCCGCGCCGCCTCCGTCGCCTCCCACACCTCCCACGACACGCACACCTCCCACAAATTCACCCTCAAGGACCTCCTCGCCTCGGGCCCCAAGCTCTCCCGCCGCAGCAGCGCGCGCAGCGCCAGCTCGCGGCACAGCGCGGACAGCGGGAGCGAGGTGAGTCATTCGGAGGGCAACGCGGCGAACTCCAAGGGCGGGGGGAAGAAGAGCGGGAGCGTGAAGAGTGGAGGGGGCGGGAGCGTGAAGAGCGATGGGTCGCTGACGAGGAAGTACGGCGTGTGTCAGAAGGTGGCTATTGGCAAGGGGGCGACGAGCGTGGTGCGGCTGGCGCACAAGTGGGATCGGAGCGAGGGGGAGAAGATGTATGCTATTAAGGTGGGTCGCCCGTGCTCTATCTTTCGTCTTCTTTTTTCGGTTCGATTCTACGTGTGCTGTCGTTCCTCTTCTCCCTCCCCGTTTATATGCACTGCTAACCCCAACCCACAGGAATTCCGCAAACGCCGCAAAACAGAGACAGAGAAGGAGTACGTCAAGAAGCTCACCGCCGAGTTCTGTATTAGGTGTGTTTTACTGCTCTTCCTGCGACCACTCTTTCTTGTGTTTCCTCCGGCCACTCTTTCGCGGAGGCGTACGGTGGTGGGGAGGCCTCAGTTTTTCCGCGCTCATCCCTCGCGGGCCACGTTTTGGGGGCGCCCTATTCATGTGCTTGCCATGCGCGCCCCACCCACTGGACACACAAACGGGTCCTACTACTCTTTCCCTGTGGCTGGCTTTCCTTCACGATTATATGCTTGCTTCCACATTTTTTTCTGCTCTCGGCCTCGGTCGGGTGCGCCCCAAACGGGGATGACGTCATGTCATCTCCGTTCCGCTTTCTTCTCGTTTCTGCCACCCCGAGGGCACATCGGCGTCCTCGAATGCGCTCTCCTCTCTATCCCTCCTCCTCCCTCCCCCTCCCTCTTCCTCCTTGCCTCCCCCTCCTCTCAAAACCTCTAACGCGATTGGCTGACATGCTCCCAGCTCGACCCTCCACCACATCAACATCGTCGAGACCGTCGACCTCGTGCAGGACGAGCAGGGGCGGTGGTGTGAGGTTATGGAGGTGCGTTGGGTTGCATTGCTTTCGAGACTTGTTTTTTTTTTTTTTGGGGGGGACGAGGGGAGGGTTTTTACTTGCGAGGGGGTGCGTGCGGGGGTTTGGGCGTGGCGTGGATGCTCCGTCGTCGAGTGGATTTGGATTTGCGCTTGACGCGTTCGCGTTCGTGGCCGAGTCGGAGATGGTTCTCGGATCGGACGTCAGTGAAGTTGGCGTCGGAGATGGAGATGGTCCGTCCCAGATTGGCTAGACGTCCTCGCGTGCGGCGTCGGGTCCTACCCCTTGTACGCGGCCGGACAGGAGCCATCGACGGCTCCCTCGTTGGCGCCCGCGCACGCCCACGCCCACCACTCGCGCCATCGGTAAGACCCTATGCGCGCCGTCGTTTGGGATCGGGCTTTGGCTTTGGCTTTGGATTTGGATTTGGGATCCGTCCGCGCCAGTCGGGTGAATCATGTCGAGGGGGTCGAGGGGCTCGCGTATGCCGATCTTGCGTGCTGAGGACGGTATACGCGCGTCGGGTCCCGCATCGTCCCATTTGCCCGGCGGGACCAGACTGCCGACGACGACTGACTGGCAGTTTGTTTTCGTGGTCACGTCCGCCCCCCTCCCTCCCTCCCCATCCCTCCCCCTTTGCCCCCCTTTCCCCCCCTTCTTCCCCTACTAACCCCCCCCCCCAGTTCTGCCCCGGCGGCGACCTCTACGCCGCCATCAAAAAAGGCGGCATGTCCCCCTCCGAGGTCGAGTGCTGCTTCAAGCAGATCTTGGAGGGCGTGGGGTACCTCCACAGCCAGGGCGTCGCGCACCGCGATATCAAGCCGGAGAATCTGTTCTTTGATACGGTGGGGCATTTGAAGGTGCGTTTGGTTTTGCGCGCTTTGTGGGCGTTTGGGCGTTTGGGTGTTGGGTTGGGCGTTGCTTACTCTATGAACCTGCTTCCCATCCTCACCCGCGCTCCCACCTTTCGCTATTCTATCAAATTACGGAGGGATATGGAAGGCTGACGCATTTCGTCCCGCAGATCGGCGACTACGGCGCCTCGACGGTCTACCGTCTCCCCTGGGAAGCGACGATCCACATGTCGACGGGCTTATGCGGAAGCGAGCCGTACATCGCGCCGGAGCAGTTTTTGGGGAAACGTGAGTGTCTCGTCTCTCGCACCGAGAATCTCCCATTCTCATCTCGCGCCCTCGTTTTGCAGCCTACGACGCGCGCCTAGTCGACATCTGGGCCTGCGGGATCGTTTACTACTGCTTGCACTTCCAAGAGCTGCCTTGGCGCGCGGCGCAGCAGTCGGACCAGCTGTATGCGGCGTATGCCGCCGCCGCTGCTGCGACGCCGCCTCCCCCGCTCACCGCTGCGCCTCCACCTGCCCCTGCCCCTACGAACGGGGCCTCAAGTACAAGTACCAACGGCGCCCCCTCCGCCGCCTCCTCCACCACCACCCTGCAACCCGCGCCCGACCGCGACCGGCACCACACCCAAGCGCAGTCCACGCTCGTCTTCCCGCCGACGATTAGCAACCTCTCCCCGCGCGCGTGCCGGCCGCTCATCCGCAAGATGCTCGAGCCGGACCCGAAGCAAAGGAGCAGTATTGAGGAGGTGCTGGGGTGTGCGTGGATGAGTGGGGTGGAGGTGTGTTGGGAGGTGGGGGAGAGGGCGCGGCATGTGCATGTTAATGCAAGGGCGATGGCGGGGTTGGTGCTGGGGCAGGCGGAGAGGGAGAGGTAGCGGGGTGGGAGTACCATGGGGAGCTGTGGTGGTGGGGTGTACATAGGGGTGTACATAGGAGGGTGTGTACGATGGGCGCGGTGGACGTTTGTTCGGCTCGCGTATGCGATTTCGTTTTGTAGAGGAAAGGGGAGGGAGGGAGGGGTGTGCTTGTCTGCTTTCGTTCCGTGGTTTCTTGGTGCGCTGTCCTTTGTGCTGCTTAATGCTTAATACATCCGTCTTCCGTCTTCTGTCTTCCGTTCACACCTCCATCCATCCACGCATGCATGCGGATCCAATTCCAATTCCATCCAATTCAATCCAAATACCATACCATACGATTTCAGTGTACAATTACTGTTACATATACACACCTACTATACGCCGCTCTCCTGCTGTTACTGGTTGACTTCCCATAACGAATAAACAATTTTTTGGGTTTTTTTCTGCCATTCTGGGACGACTCCGAGACAGCTGTCAGGACCCCATCGGACTTGGATCTCAGTAATATCGTTCCCGGACCCTCTTGTAGAGTTTAAATAATTATAATCTGGAACGGGGGTCGGACCCCCCGTTCCAGATTATAATTCTGCTTGAATAAACTGATTTGGCTGTATCGCCGAGCGGCATCGAACGGCTTGTCATCAGTGATCCTCGATGACGGCTTGCCGTCATGCCGTTCGCACTGTTCGCGCAACTTGCGCGAACGGCGCAACTACGTACGTCGACCGAACAGTCTGCATGCCATTCCACGCGCAACAATGGGTCTCAATGACTCCAAGAAAAAATGTGACCATAGCCTTCTTCTATCTCATCGTCTCGAGGTCCTGGAGCTGTTGCTGAAGAAAACTTGGAACAGACACGTTGTACAGAGGTGGCGAGATGGCGGCGAACGACAGGACACGTTGTTCCTGTCGCACTGGGCAGATAAGAGATGTGAAATATATAATCTATGCGCTATGGGAACCCAAGGCAACTAAACAACTCAGGAATAAACGAGATGCCGACATCGTTGGCACCGCTCAAATAATACAAAAGATTGTTTATGCGTTATGGGAAGTCAACCACTGGGTGACTTCCCATAAGGGTAGAATATTTTTTCGAGGTTTTCCGAGGGTGCCAGTGATGGTAGCCCGGTTTAGAATATTCAACCTACGCGCCAAAAGCTAACTGTTCACACGAATAAAATCACA